GATTCGTGATTAGTATGTATTATATTTTTTTGGGGAGGAAATGCTTAGGAACTATCTTGTAGCATGATAATACTTTTTTTTTGTCTTTGAATAGATCATCTCATATATGTTAGGCAATTGAAAGGTCTTATGCACTTTTGGTGATGTGGTGATGTGATGTATGAATTATACAGGAATTGTGGTGTAAAGGTGCTATAGCGTTTGAGGTGCACCCTCTTGGCAGGGTTTTGCCTTGCCAAGATTGGGTCGTTACATTTTTGGTATCAGAGCATTTGGTTATGAATCTATAGACTAGTTACTTTAGAATTAAAGTTGATAGGGTATTGTAGTTAGTAATTCGATTAGTGATGATGTTTAATAGCAATCTAGTATTCTAAGTTTTAATTGTCTTGTTATATAGGCGCGTATGGCAAGGCGAAAAGTTCATAAGAGTCGCCCCCTTATGGAAGTACTTGAGGCTGAGCGAGAGCCACATCTTAGTGCTGGAAATGAAGTTCCACCTCGGGTTCAGGAAGAAGAGATTGAACACGAATCGCATAATGAGCAAACTCAAGAGTCAAGTGCCAATCCAGAAGTGGGACATTCAGATAGAGTCGTACCACCAAGGGCTGACGCAGCTGCAGCATTTTTAGACCCTAGTGTGCAGCGCCTTTTAGAGTCAATGGCTAGCCTAGCGGAGAGGCAAACTCACATCCTTGAACAACAGAATGCAGCACAGTCTAGGCCATTTGTGCAACCTACAGAGATCCGCCTCACCGCAATTGAGAGGTTCAAGAAGTTGGGGGCTCCATCATTTTCTGGATCGCCCAATCCTATGGAGGCAGAGGCCTGGTTAAGGAGGGTAGAGAAGATATTTTCTGTGATAGAAGTATCAGACGAGCAGCGAGTTGCACTTGCTAGTTTTATGCTGGTGGAGGAGGCTGAATATTGGTAGGAGGCCACACAACGCCTACTTACGGCAAGTGGCACCGGAGGATTGACCTGGAACCAATTCACTAAGGTTTTCAATGACAAGTACTTTCCAGCTACCTATCGGTATGAAAAAGAAAGAGAGTTCCTTCGGCTAGAGCAAGGGGATTTGACTGTAGCTCAATATGAAGCTAAGTTCATTTCTTTATCTCGTTTTGCCCCTTCGTTTGTGGATGATGAGGAGGTCAAATGTCGTCGTTTTACAGATGGGTTGGATTTGGACATCAAATCTCGTATCCGAGTATTGGGAATAACTAACTATTCAACCTTGGTTGATAAAGCCTTAACAGTTGAGGAAGATGTCATAGAAATGAAGTTAGCGGAACAACAGAAGAAGCGCCACCTTAGTTCATCCCATCATGAGAACACATTTAATAGACCGTCAAAAAGAGGTGGTCATGGTTATGGTTCAGTCAAGAGCTCTAGTGCATATCAAAAAAATAGAGAGCATCCCACCCCAACCCAAAGCATTTCTAATCAGCGTCATGGACAGTCTAGTGGGACATCATCTCAGTTTACTCGAAGTGTTTGCAAGCAATGTGGGCGGGCACATACAGGTGTTTGTCATGCTGGTACCGACTTGTGTTTTCGTTGTGGCCAGAAGGGTCATTTGGTGAAAGATTGCACAGTTCCTAAAATGACTAATTTGGGAGATACACGAGCTTGCTTCAATTGCGGACAACCCGGACATTTGGCTAGAGATTGCACACGAACTGCTTCATCTGCTAGTACTGGAGTTGGTAGTAATAAAATTTCAGGTGCCGGCCGAGGGGGAAGCCGAGGAGGAGGTCAGGTTGGGACTAGGTTTGGCAAGCAGAATAAAGGAGGTGTTCAATCCGATAGACAAACCTCGCAGGGGAGAGTTTTTGCTTTGACTCAGCGGGATGCTCAGGCTAATCCGGAGGTGGTAACAGGTATTATTTATGTGTTCAGTAGGGAGGCACATGTACTTATTGATCCGGGTTCTACACATTCTTTTGTATCTCTATCATTTTCTTTGCATGCTGATAAACCTATTGAACCTCTAGGCTATTGCTTATCCATTACTACTCCTATTGGGGATTGTGTTATAATTGAGGAGGTATATCGAGGTTGTGTATTACAGTTGGGAGATAGGGAGATGGTAGCGGATTTATTGCCAGGGAGATGGTAGCAGATTTATTGCCTTTAGAGATGCTTGATTTTGATTTGATTTTGGGAATGGATTGGTTGGCTTCTTACCATGCTTCGATGGATTGTTATAGGAAAGAGGTAGTATTTTCCAATTTTGGGGAACCTGAATTTAGATTTTGTGGAGATCGATGTGCGTCCCCATCTTATGTTATTTCTGCTATTACCGCTAGAAAAATGCGTAAGAAAGGGTGCCAAGGATACTTAGCCTATGTGATTGACTCCGAATTTAATGGTCCAAGATTGGAGGATATACCAATTGTGTGTGACTTCATAGATGTTTTTCCTGATGAACTACCTGGATTACCCCCAGATCGAGAAATTGAGTTTGCTATTGACTTAATTCCTGGAACTACCCCAATTTCTAGTGCACCTTACCGTATGGCCCCAATGGAACTTAAGGAGCTTAAGATACAATTGCAAGAGTTATTGGATAAAGGCTTCATTAGGCCAAGTGTCTCGCCTTGGGGATCACCTATGTTATTTGTGAAGAAAAAAGATGGCACCATAAGATTGTGCATTGACTATCGGCAGTTGAATAAGGTCACGGTGCGTAATAAGTATCCTTTGCCTCGTATAGATGATTTGTTTGATCAACTTCAGGGAGCATGTGTGTTCTCCAAAATCGATCTCAGATCAGGGTATCGCCAACTTAAGATTAAGGAAGAAGACATACCGAAAACTGCTTTTCGAACTCGCTACGGCCATTATGAATTTCTTGTTATGCCTTTTGGTCTAACTAATGCCCCCGCCGCATTTATGGACCTTATGAATAGAGTGTTCCAACCATACCTTGACCAATTTGTGATTGTATTTATTGATGACATACTTGTTTATTCCAGGAGTCAAAAGGATCATGAACAACACTTGCGGGTGGTATTGCAGACTTTACAAGAAAAGAAGTTGTATGCGAAGTTTAGCAAATGTGAGTTTTGGTTAGATCGTGTCGTATTTTTGGGGCATGTGATTTCGGGTGAAGGTATTTTTGTGGATTCGAAGAAAATAGAGGCTGTGGTGAATTGGGATCGTCTTACTAACGTGACCGAGGTGAGGAGCTTTTTAGGGTTGGCAGGCTACTACCGTAGATTTGTAGAGGGGTTTTCATTGATTGCGGCACCATTAACACATTTGACCCGTAAGAATACCAAATTTGAGTGGACGGAGAATTGTGAAAAGAGTTTTCAAGAATTAAAGAAGCGATTAACTTCTGCCCCAGCGCTTACTATTCCGTTAAGTGGTGAAGGATTTATTGTTTATAGTGATGCCTCTCATCAAGGGCTTGGTTGTGTGTTGATGCAACATGGAAAGGTAGTGGCCTATGCATCTAGACAATTGAAGAACCATGAACGCAATTATCCCACCCATGATTTAGAGCTCGCAGCGGTTGTTTTTGCTTTAAAGTTGTGGAGACATTATTTATACGGGGAAAAATGTGAGATATATACTGATCATAAGAGTTTGAAATATTTATTCACACAGAGGGATTTAAATTTGAGGCAAAGGAGATGGGTTGAACTGATTAAGGACTATGACTGCACCATTAATTATCACCCAGGAAAAGCTAATTTGGTGGCCGATGCTCTTAGCCGAAAATCTACAGGGAAATTAACTCACATTCAGGGCATTCAATTTAGTCTCTTACATGAAATAAAATCTATTGGAGTTGATCTAGCAGTTGGGAAGTCGGGATCCTTGTTAGCTACAATTAAAGTGAGACCTTTGTTAGTGGATCGCATTCGAGAAGCCCAAGGGAAAGACTCAATTTTGGAGAAGACCCGAGCTCGAGTGAAAGATGGTACTCTGTTAGACTTTATTATTAAAGAAGATGGTGTGTTGATGTTTAAAAATCGGTTATGTGTTCCAAATGAGCCCGAGATAAAAAGGGAGATATTAGATGAGGCCCATAATTCACCTTATGCAATGCATCCGGGGAGTACAAAGATGTATCGAAATTTAAGAGAAAGTTATTGGTGGCCAAATATGAAGAGAGAAATAGCAGAATTCGTGTCAAGGTGTTTGGTATGTCAGCAGATTAAAACAGAGCATCAACGCCCAGCTGGTTTACTTCAACCTCTTCCTATACCTGAATGGAAATGGGAGCATATTGCCATGGATTTTGTTTCGGGCCTGCCTCGCACACAGAAGGGGCATGACTCTATTTGGGTTGTTGTGGATAGGTTGACCAAATCTGCACACTTTTTGGCTACTAAGAAAAACTTTTCACTTGATCGATTAGCAAAAATTTATGTGGATGAAATTGTGAGATTGCATGGTGTGCCGGTATCTATTGTTTCAGACAGAGACTCGCGCTTCACATCCCACTTTTGGCCTAGTCTTCAAAATGCCTTGGGTACTAAACTGAGATTCAGTACAGCTTTTCACCCCCAAACCGACGGGCAATCCGAGAGGACAATTCAAACTTTAGAAGACATGTTGAGAGCTTGTGTCCTAGATTTTCGAGGTAGTTGGGATGAACACTTGACCTTAATAGAATTTGCATATAATAATAGTTATCAATCAAGTATTGGGATGGCTCCCTATGAAGCTTTATATGGGCGAAGATGTAGAACTCCAGTATGTTGGGATGAGGTTGGAGAGAGAAAATTGTTAGGGCCAGAGATTGTTCAAATTACTACCAATAAAGTGCATATTATTCGAGAAAGGTTGAAGGCGGCTCAAAGTAGACAAAAGAGCTATGCAGATAATCGAAGGAGAGATTTGGAATTTCAAGTGGGAGATCATGTATTTTTACGAATCTCGCCATGGAAGGGAGTGATGCGATTTGGTAAGAAAGGCAAACTAAGTCCAAGGTATATTGGGCCATTTGAGATATTAGAGCGCATTGGCAAGACTGCTTATCGTTTGGCCTTACCACCTAGTCTATCTCGCATTCACAATGTGTTTCATGTATCCACATTGAAGAAGTACATGCCTGACCCATCACACGTGTTAGATTTCCAACCAATCCAACTCAAGGATGATTTGTCTTATGAAGAGGAAGCCATAGAGATTGTGGACATGAAGGATCAAGTACTACGTTCCAAGACCATACCACTAGTAAAGGTATTGTGGAAAAATCATGCTTTGGAGGAAGCTACTTGGGAGCGGGAGGATAATATGAAAATTCGATATCCACATCTTTTTCAAAGTATGAACTAGACTAAACAAACGAATAAATTTCGTGGACAAAACTTTCCTTTAGGGGGGTAGAATTATAATATTCCCAACTTTTCATCTAGAGCCAAACACACTCCTATGTTAAACTCCATTTAGGATATCTAAACCCAACCCGAGGTATCCATCCGAAAATAACACAATAGAAGCACAAACTCTAGATTTTTCTTAATCTTTTGAAGAATCAAAGCATGGGATTTATTTTCTTGATGGATTAGAGGCTTGTAATTGGTAAGAATTTTTCTCTAAAAGTTTAGTTTAAGGTTTTACATATTTCGAGTTAGAGATGATGAAATTTTTGTGTTTTAGATCTATTATGATTTGGGATTTGATTGTTGAATTTTATACTCTCAATTAGTTTCCATGAATGTTTTAGATGTTAAAAAAAAAAATGGTCAATTTGATGGTCGATTTGGAGATTAAGATTTTGGGTTAATCTAGGGTTTGAATGTGATGTAAAAATTAGGGATTTTGGTGTTAGGAAATTTATATGTTGAAATTGATTTGATAAATGGTGGATTGGGTATCTCTATGTTCTATGGAGGAATTTTATAAGTGATTGAAGAGATTTTACTTAAGTTGTTGAGTTTATACAAAAATGTTGATTTTTTACTTTTGTAGTAAATTGATGGTGGTATTGTGCATATAAATTGATTGGATATTTAAAAAGTTACTAACTCAAAGATGTTCAAAGGATGGGTGTTATGGAGATTGGATAAGTTATTTGTTTGGGTGACTTAAAGTTGGAGGAGTTCTTTAGCTTGCCATTCCTTAGCATAATTTTATTTAGGATCATTTTTGTAGATGTTGTAATTTTTATTGAAAGCTTTTCCTAATTTGAGATCCTTTTTACTAATTGTTAGGATTGGAGGAAGGCATCTCTACACCTCTTGGAAATTAATTTGTAGAGTTTCAAATCTACACTTTTGCTATTTTTGGAGGTGAGTATACTTACCATGGAAATTACCTTACCTCTATCTTTATTACAATGTTTGAAAATAATTTTTGAATTAAAGGAAGTGAATGATACATTTCATCATGATATATGTATAAAAAGAAAATCTATAAATTTATTGAGGCTAAGGGTTAAGTTTTAATAAAGATATGATTTCATTTGTATAATGACGCATTAATTTTTTTTTATGAGAATTTATTTAAGTTGAGTCTTTGAAATTTTATGATGATGATGATTGAATGACAGTGAAATGTTATGTGAGGGTATTTATTTTATTGATCATATAACCGAATATAGCCTTTGGGGCCACAAGGGCCAAAATGCTTTGGGGTCCTGGGGACCGAAATGTTTTAAGGACCATAAGGGTCGTTGTATGTATAAGGGGTCCTGGGGACCGAAACATTGAAACAAGAATTGAAGTGCTACGATGACATGAGCTATGTTCCTATGGTTATGTTTTGGGTAACGGTACCGTCACCACCTAAGTCGCGAGGTAATGCGACCCTAAGGCTATGTAGTGGATTGTATGATGGAAAGGAAATCTTAATGTATTGAAAAGTTATATTTTTGTTTACTTTCATTATCCAAATGTATTTTTTTTCTGCCTTATGAGATTCCTTGGAAAAATCTTGATAACGTTTTATGAAAATTGTATTTCATCATTTTTATTTTTATTTTGTATAAATTTAAGTCCAATTAAGCTCTTATGTTTAGTATCTTTATTTTGAACCCTATTGGTAGGAGCAAGTTTTATAACTCCATGGTATTGGTATACTCATTGGGCTTTAGCTCATTCTTTTAAATAATTTTTTTTTTCAGATTCATAGACCTTT